TATTGTAGATTTTCATAAGCCTCGTCCAATTGAACACTAAGTCGTATACAACTCACTCTTGTAAATCATTTATATTGCCATCGATTCGACGTTGCATCCATCGTCAATCGCGTCTTATACTCTTATATAATATTATAATCGTATCTATTATAGTAAGCCGCTCCGTGTAGCTCGCTATAATAATACGATTCTTATTGAGCTGAACACACAATTGTAAGTACCTGTATTTCACCATACGTTTTCAGAGTAAAAAACGAATTGTTTTCGTAAGCACACGATTAATGACAATAATTGAAAACGAAGATGTGAAAATTTGAGTTGCTAAAACCATATTCTGATCGTCACTTGATTTCGATACACCGGCCAAAAATACGAAAGCCACAAAGTTAAGTGTATATGTGGTGACGAATTCGACATTTCGAAATTCGATACGGTTTACGAGTGTGATCTAATATCGAACTTAGATTTAACTAGGTACTTAATTGTGAAAATCAATTAATGTTACGCCACTGTAATACGATATGATTGAGTTATTATTATATATCGTAGTTATCGTAGGCGAGCTATATTTTGTTATTATAACGTCATCCGAAGTCGTACACAATATGCAAATCTCAAATAACAAACTGGTTCCACGGTTGTCGATATCGACGTTAATTCGACATCGGAAATCGATGGACTGTATAATATAGCGTTTAAATGTGCAACGATACAATTTATAATATATGACGTAGATACGAAGGCACATTAACTAACTATCTACATATACCTACAACACCAGCTATCGGTATCCGGAAAACCGACGAATTTCAGTCGAATTTGATTTTGTAAAAAAAAAAACAATAAACAAATAACAATTACATGCCGATAAAATAAATTAATATTATATAGACATGGCAATATTTTCCATTTGATTTTCGACCGATCAGCTTTAAAATGTATTTTAATTTATGTAATACGCAGTGCCATCTGTCGGTTGAACTGCGTTCGAAATAGAACGCACGACACGCTTGAGAAAATTCCTTCAAAATTATCGTCATAGTCCAGTAGGTACCTTTTTTTCTTACAGCTCGAGTAAATAACTGAGAGAGTTGAACCATTATTATCTATTTTAAAATATACCGACTGCATAGATTAAATGTCGAAATCAAAGGACAGATCGCATGAGAGTCGTCAAAACTATATAGTATATGAAATCGAATCAGAATAAATATTTAATGGATTGTCGGCTTTGGCAGACTACCGAATTCCAAGTGTTACGTTGATTATTAATATTTTTTTTAATTTTTATTCATAAAGAATGGACTCCGTATCACGATGACATTTCGACTTTGTATTAGTACCTATTTTTTAAATTAAAATATGTTCTCGTAAGTACCTAGAATCATCTTAAACGGTTGAAATTTAACTTTTTTAATAAACAATAAATATATTGATAATGAAATACTCTAATTAATGTGCACTGACTGATAAATTTATAGTTTGTGTAAATAGATACTATTGTGAAATTAATAATAATAATTAGTAATGTCTAGCATTATTAATATTATATCTTATTGATTAATTGATTTTATTTTTAAAAAAATATCCTGCAACTATTGCTACTTATAGTATTTAATATGATAATATTATTTATTTTTTACCAGTACTACTATATAAAAACTGTGTTTGTTGTTTTAATTTTATTTCAACTATAGTTTTCATGTTTAATTTTTTTTCCTTTTTTTGCTTCATAGACGATCGTGTTTAATTATTTAATACGTAATTTTCTCAATACATTTATCATTTTTTTTTTTTTTTTATTGAGCTTGAGCCCGGTGGCTTAGGCCATTAGCTATTTTTTGTTTTGTTTGTAGGTTTTTTTTGTTGATTTGGGGGGGGGGGCACAATACATTTATTATATAGTATAATATTATTATCTCTTTGTTTGGTGTAAATATTTCGCGAATTTTCTCTGAAACATTTCGATATTTTAATTTACTTCAACAGTTTATAATATTATGTTGATCAATTGTATAAATTACAATTGCAGTTAATGTACAACATGCATACTAACATCAAAACTTGGCCAAATTTTAGTGTTCAAATATATTAGAAGAATAAATTAGAATATATTAAGAATATATTAAGAAGATGAATGTTATTAATGTGTAGTAAAATAAAATAAAATAAAATAAAATAAACGGTATTCAAATTATTATTAATGTAATAAATAATTATAATGACACAATGGTCATTTCCACAGGTTTAGTTCAACATATCTATAATTTGTTAACCAAAGTAAAGTGAGTTAAACTAAATATACTTATATGATACACTAATATAAGTCAATAATCATTATGTACGTAGGACATAAGTATGGACATAATCGTTCAGGGTATTTATGATAGATGTACCTATAGTATAATATAATACTGTAATGATTATACACTGAAAAAAAATTAAATCCTATAAATTTACCATATAATTATACACCTAATATGTAACCCGATTTAAGTATCTGGTATACTTGTTAAAGTTATTAAAATTTTTTATTTTATTTTTAACATCAATTTCAAAGGTTATTTTTTTTTTTTCATAAATATTAAATTTTTACATTAACTACACTTTACATTTCAATTTTTTTAAGATAAGAAATTAGGTTGAGGGGTTTTGAAAATGGACCAATTTCTCCATGTAAATTGTCCAGAAAGTTAAATTACAGAAATTAATTCAACGAGGCTGTTCAAATTGTTGTTATAAATTTAATTTGTAAATTGCTATTTACTTTAGGCATTAAATAAAATATGGCCATAACTGATAAAGTATATGCATACGAATTGGGTTTGTTGGAAATCCGAATTTTTTTAAGAGGGTTGTTTTGGGCTGATTTTTTTTATCGAACAATTGGAATTTTTCTATTTAAACAATTATACTTATACGACCTACTATGTGTAACTAGAAACGAATTCCACGCAATCGTGACCAACCCAATATAAGTGTAGGTAATAATTATAAGGTTTTAATGTTTTATTATTGATATTTAGGTATAGTGGTTTCTATGGTGTTAAATTTATTTAAATTGTAACAATTTTTTAATCATAATAACATTTATATTGCACAGTGGTTTATTAATAATTAATTTCCGGGCAGAAAGTAGTACCCTGTGGTATATTGAAAAATGTATTAATCAACGGTTACTGTATGTCATTATTATAACTTAATTTAAATAATTTAATTCTATATAAGTAATATAAAACACTGTGGAACGTCGGTTTTATGAATCATTATTCTCAACCCTCCAGTGTATTGAGGGACAAACCCCTCGGCACCAGCATATACTTTCTACTTCCATCCCTGGAGATTGAACGTGCTGAAATTCAACACCGAAAGCCGAGAATGCGTGATTTCCATACAACCAATGTCTAATTGTTGAAATATTATTAAAGTTTATGTCTTATACTCACTACAATATTAGAGTCACCATAAATTTCTCAGGTTATCTACAACAGTAGAGTGGCCTTTCACACGACTTCGTGTAAGCGAACTATGTACGTCTAAACAAGAGAGTAGCACATAAATAACGCACCGAGGTTTGTACCATTTTAAATAAAATTTAATCTGATATTATATAATATTATTATCTAATAATAAATTGTTGTTTTATGAGCTAAGTTTGTGTGAAAACGTAAACTTAAATCACACAGAGATGGACACAGTGTTTTACCATTAAACCCAGAGGTGGGTTAAGTTAAGATAACACAAAATCAATAAGTTAAAAGCCAACAGTTAACAAATCATAAATTTAACTCGATAAATTAAAAGTTAATATGAAAAATAAATTAATTTAACTAAAAAAAAAGTTAATTTACTTTTTTTATTAGTATGTGGATCACATGAAGAATGACTGCGTTCTTTCTAATTTCCTAAATTATAATAAACAGTTTTATTGAACTAGTCCCGTAATGTAAATTAAATAAAATAAATAAAATATTGTACAGTGCATATACCTACCAATTCTACTTAACCTAATTATTAGATATTTGAACTATACACATTTCATTTAATAATTTTAACAAATATTAATTTTTATATCAAATAAAATTTAAAGTCAAATAATATCGTGTCTGTATCTGATCTACTAAAATATATTCATATTCAAAATTATTCTATCAAGAAAAATAACAGAAATACCTAGCGTATTATTATTATATTATTGAGTAGTTTTTATTTTTATTTTTTTCAACTGTCAGTTAAACTGTTTAAATTTACAAGTCGATTAGAAAATTAATAAGTAACTTGTTAAGATTGAAAGTTTAAAAAAAATGTTTAACTTAACTTACCCACCTTTTATTATACCGTTCTTCCCATATCGTATACAAAATATACTTATATACATCTATGTCTAAGTATAAATAGCAAAAAAACCTCTGGTATAGATAATCAGATAAACGTACTTTCTATAATTGATAATAATTTCTAGAAAATAGAAAAATTCTACAATTATTTAATATTGTTTGTAATCTAATTATACAAATTGTAAAATATCATACTTCGATAAATTTGGCAAGTATTATTTTATCTCAACCAAAATATCAACGAATTATGATAATATTATGCACTATATTATTATATTATATATACCACAAGTCGTAACATATAATATTATGATATTGTAATACATAATAACATGTGTATAATGCACTCATTTTTCGTAACAATACTTTTAAATCGAAAGTATAATTAATTGTGTAATAATATTTACACTAATAAAATATATGAAGATGAGCATTTTGTGTATAATTATCATTATTTTTTTTAATGAGTTTATGAAACTCGATCCATTTCTTAGTTAATTTATCTAGGTGCGAACAATCTAATATAGTAGGGACTTGTAGAGTTCTACAGTATAAATACCAAAACCCGAGTTTCAATAATCATCAGTGTACCTACTCATCTTTTAGTGAAAACAAATCTCGTTTTATAAAAGTGCATACGTACATACCTGCTACACAATCAAAATGGCTACAAAGGTAAGATTATATTAATATCGTATACCTACTTAATCTTTACTTATTTCAAACAAATACATTTAGCATTTTCACTTTGACAATATTGTACGATACAACTACTTTATGTAAAACTATTTTATTTATTATTCATATATTTTAATAATATTTGTGGGACTATAGGTACTACAATAAAGTACCTAGTACAACCGCTCTTAGTCTTACAATCAATAATATTTTCTAATAAACGAATACCCTAAATAAACACATTTTGTACAATACTAGGGAAATATCGCAAATAATATACAGGTGTTCTTTATAGTATAATTTTAATTACGTCGGAAATTCTGGTTTAGCTTATCGGCGCTCAGTAATTTAAAGTAAAAAAAATTGCCTTAAGTGGTATAACCGCATAGTAATTATCCTTCACTCGTACCTATATCATAATATCATTGTCAGCTCGATAAAAAACTTTATCGTCGTACATTACAGTTGATTATGTTTGTCGCATTGTTCGGACACTTGGCCTTTGCGTATCCACCCACTGAGTACAAAAGTTACGACGCCGACCACTACGATCACGCGCCTAAGCCATATCATTTCGAGTACGGTGTGAAAGACCTTCACACCCACGACATCAAGAGCCAACACGAGGTGAGCGACGGTCACGGTAACGTCAAAGGATCGTACCGTCTCGTGGAACCCGACGGTTCTACCCGCGTGGTCGAGTATACCGCTGACCACGAACACGGTTTCAATGCCGTCGTCAAGAAGATCGACGCACCCAATCACCACGGCGAGTACTCCGACTCCACGGACTACCATCATCACGAGTCGCTCCATCCGTACGAACAATCGTCTTACAACAAGTTTTACTGAAATTTGAAGAAGAAAAAAACCACCTGTTATATCGGAAAACGTGTTACCGGACAGTAGCGTGGTTGATGCCACGGATTGTTTGCTATGCACACCATGTACATTTTTTTAACTAATAAAACATTCTCCATTGTTATGCTATAGAACACGATGTTGTATTTTATTATCCATGCTGCATGCTAACGAACAACCACAAACTATGCTTACTGCAGAAAAGTATAACCGCTTACAGGATATCAAATTGATAGATTCATTAGGGTGGTAAACTCAAAAGAGTCGACTTGCAAAATAATTATAGTATTGTTCGTTTTGATTAGGTCAAGGAAAGAAGAGGAAAGTAAAAAAAAAACAAAATATGTTGGCAAAATATTATTATAATATGTACCAATAAGCAAATAAATAACGTAATACAATTTAATATTTAATATTATTTCGCTTTTACTGACTTTAAAAGGAAAGAAATTATGTACTTTCTAATAATAACCTAAAGAGGATAAAATATAAAAAAAAATACGTACACGAGTATAACACGAGTCTATCAATTTATTATAATTTGATTGTTCTCTGTTAAGGCTGATCTTTAATTGCCTATATGTTACGCCGTATAACACAACAATATTATTATTTATTATTATTCTATTTATGTACTAATACAATTAATAATGACTACTATTAATTAATTGTCTCAATTTACTGTAGATGATATTAAATATCAACAAAAAAAAACAAACTCACATCATAAAAATGTCAATCTAAAAATATATCGAATTAAACTTTATGAGCACTTCAAGTTTGGCTTCGATTAATTGAAGCGATTAATTTTTTTCTTGGCTAAACGATTTTCACCAACAGTTTATTTATGGATGACACATCCATAGAGGACTTATCTTCATCCATCATTTCCAAATAGTACATTATACTATATAATATAGTGTGAAGTTCATAAATAATAGTTAATTAATTATCGACGATAGTTTGTCATATTAAATTCGTATACCAAAAATAAAAAAGTTAAAATAAAAATTTTACGAAATAACATACTGTGATGGAATCTAATAAAAATATAAAATTGAATTCGTACTGTTTAGTGTTAAATACTACTTTTTATTGTCCTATTTATGTGATCGAAAGTAATGGGGGTAAAAACACATATAAATTCAAAGAGCGTTACAGCAATCAATCGAGTTTTCGGATGGCGGGTCTATTAATTTTATATACTGTGAGTCGAACAAATTGCTTTTTTTATTATTCGTACAACGAAATTAATTAATTACTCGTAAACGTTCGAGTGTAAAACGTTTGAAAATAATATCAGGCCAAGAAAACAGATTATGGCAGATCTACCCATACGTATATAGAAACGTAATAATATTATCTTTAAACATGCTATTATTTTCTATCGACTCCGAACTATTGAAAACAGGAGAGGGAGTGAAAAAAAATAATATCAATTTATATGCGCCTCGGGTTCCATCCGGCAAAACATTACACTCGCATAAATTGTTTGACAGTTGTTGTAATAGGCACTAGCTATGGTTACAGTCGTTTAATATAGTATGGCAATATACTATACTTTTTTCTATTATTAAAATATGGCCATTAGTATTCCAGCATTTCGATCGAGATACCATTAAAATATGTAATATTTAAAATGAAGCCGTTCTTAGATTGTTCCGTCGATGGGTCGAATAAAAGACACCCGAGATGTGTACCTAGGTATATATGGTGGAGACTCATTTGCGCACATATTAATAAATTTTTTAAATTTACGACAACTCATTTGCGCACAAAATAGTAAACAATGAAAACCAGCTTTTAGGTACAGTTTTGGGTGTACAGGGTGTCTTAAGCTGTCCAACACGTTACACGTTCAATATTATTGATATCAATCATCAATGATCACCCGTTATTGGAGTATCTTCAATATAGCCTTATATAGTCTTAAAGCATAACGTGATTTCACATCAGTTCTTATCTATCAAAAATGGCATTAATACTCGCCAAGTACACTAGTCGTGTGGGACAAGCTTTAATCTTTATTACGATTAATTTATTATTAATGATTGTACCTAATTTATTGTAATTTGACAAAATTTTAATGACTTGTAAAAATGATTGTACCTAATTTATTGTAATTTGACAAAATTTTGAATAATGTGTAATAGCTAAAACAAAATTTTTAAACCCGCCAGTCTATAACATCAGAATATGATGAGACAGAAAGTCCTAAGCCTTTTAAAGGGTGAAGGTAAATGTTGTTTGAGTATAATAATTGTCCACTATTAGTATTGACCAAATCGAAAATATGGTGGTACGGAGATTATGTACACCCTATACGTGGATAAAATTCTTGGAAAAAAGGTTTCTATTGTTCGTAAATTGTGCGCAAATGAGTTATGTTTTTGTGCGCAAATGAGTTGTAAAAAAGGTAAATGTGCGCAAATGAGTTGTAGCCGTATATATAGGGAGTAGACATTTGCAACGGTTGAACCACAATTATTCTGCAGACTTTTAGCGAACGATACCGCAAGACAAAATATGATATTATTATTATGATGCCGTTGCAGACGATAATAATACTAATAACGGCGTGCCATGCAGTGTGCAAGTATTTTCTATTGCATTTGGTCATCAAAATAGTTCACTGATTGAATATACAATAAATACAATGTACAATTTAATAAATGCTATAGCCTATAAGTATAAGAAAAATTGAATTTTGATCTCGACCCGATCAAGTGTGTGAGCGCACTAAATAAATTATGTATTTGATTGGACAATTAAAAAGTCCCGGTTCGCGAAGTACAAAATATTATTCGAACATTTTACTATATTATGCAATACTATTCGTTATTTAACCATATTATATTATGTGCAATTAAAATTTTACTCCGTCGTTGGGCTTACAATTTTTTATAAAAAAAATTCTAGAAGTTAAGAATCTTGTACTAAGTAGCGTAGTATTACGATTCGATATTATACATATAACATCTCGAGGGCTTTTAAAATTGAAAGAATCAATGCATTTAATGAAGAAAAATTATTATATTGTGCACAAAGGTTATTTCCGATATTATGCTTCAGTGAAAATTCTACCTATACCCATATCGATAGGAAGTAGAACATTCAAACAAAGTTTTCTACTTGTTCAAGTCGTAATTAAAATTTCTCATAAATATATAGTATAGCAGATCTATATTATTATTAAATTATATAATAAATTATTATTTTGCGAAAAAAAAATTGTTTTATTCTTTATAACGTTAGGCACGTTACATAATATTATCGAGGATAAGTACTCACGAGTTGAAAAAAAAATGCTCATGCTTATTATAATATACATACTTAAATAACAATATTAAAAAACTATATATACATAAAATATGCTCATAATAAAAATTAAATTTAAAAATATTGCAGTACGATGGCGAATAAGAACCGTTAAAATATGTTTCCCACTCGATAAAAAAAAAAAAAAAACCCACCGAGGTTAATTTAATTTCAAATAAACAATTTATTTTCCATATGGGTCCGGTCCCCGTCAACCGTCGCCGTCACAGTTTCGTATAAATTATCTATTAACGTGCCGGTGAAATCGCACACGTCCTCTTATAATGGGCCTACGTCGTTATTGAAATTAAATAATATAATTATTATTGATGTCAACACAAAAAACATATTTTATTTTAAATACGACGGAAACCATCGTATTATTGCAATATTATACTTCGCGACGGACGAAAACGAATTAATATTTCCAACACCCATAACAGAGTATACTCTTTAACGGTTTGAACGCGGCCTCGAGATTTTCCACTGCCGCTGTTATAATATTACAGAAAACAATAATAATGGAAAAAACAAACGAAACGTCGAATATAATACAATATATTATTACCATTATCATTAGACCCCTTCTGACACAGTCAGGAAAAATCAAAATGCCCATTACCATAGCTGCACAAAACAATCGGTAGGCAAAATTTCAACGAAGAAAGAAGACCCCCCCCCTCTATTTGTTCATGTTGTGGGGTCTCCCCCTACTCGTGGTAAAACGTATTCCAACTGAATTGTAGGACATACGACGAGGAGAGAAGACAATTCCAAATATTATCCGAGCTGAAATACTCAACCCGAACCCCCGACGACGTCTCCAAACTCGTCCTAACAGAAACTCACCTCATAAATAAACTGTAAACACAGTACTCAATACTTTTAAATGTATTGTTTTTTGTTTTTTTTTTTATCAACGTTCATATAAAGTAATCGTGAGGTATACATAAAATATTATATTTTTGCAATATAACATATTATACTATAAATAATATATAATATAAATTCTAATAAAACAAATATTTAATTTTACCACATATTTGTTGCACTTAATTTTTGTTGGGCATATCTTCGTGCATTTACACGGTTATTTTTAGGTGCGTATTACCTATATTAGACTCTAATAATTAGAGCATATTTGGCAAATTTTTGGTGCATATTTGTCAATTTTTAGAGCTAGAAGCCCCTGAGCCCAATTATAATGTTACGTCCAGTGGTCGCGGACGGGTCGATTATAAAAAAATATTCGACGGTCTATTTTTTAGTTTGTTCTCGCCACATAAGTTATGTAGGTGCGCCTCCGATCGTAATACAATTATTATTATTATTATTATTATTATTATAATCTAACGCATATCGCCGTGCGCGTTTCGCATGCGAAGATTTCGTGAGCACGTTACAGAACGATAAATGTAAGTCTATCTAGGAGGTACCACCTATACCTATGCAATAATAATAAAATCATTTAATCAAATATGCCAGTGTGCAGGCCAGGAGTGTGGGTATATCTCGTACGGTTTTGCAACGTCATTATAATATATCCGCACAGAGCATCGGCGAAACCGCGTGTACGATTATAATTATATAAATTATTAAAAGCGTATATTACGTGTAAACTGCTGCTGCAATTATTGCAATCGGGTCGGACACCTGTCGATAAAATATAACGC